AGAGACAGGTCCTTCCCCCCTCACCGACCGTTACAGACAGGTAATGCCTCCATCACAGACCGTTACAGACAGGTAATTTCTCCGTCACAGACCGTTACAGACAGGTATTTTCTCCGTCACAGACCGTTACAGACAGGTAATTCCCCCATCACAGACCGTTACAGACAGGCAATTCTTCCATCACAGACCGTTACAGACAGGTAATTCCCCCATCATAAATCGTGACAGAGAAGCCAGGTACCCATCACAGACCGTGACAGAGAACCCCGGTACCCATCACAGACCGTGACAGAGAATTCTGGTACCCATCACAGACCGTGACAGATAAACTGTAGCTGTAAAGCATCAGATTAACGGTTAGCTACAAATGTATCGCAACGTAATGGAAGAAAAGGATTTCCATTTAATTAGTAATAATAGAACCATCGTGTTTCACATTTTTAATCCCGCAAGGGATTGCGCTAACAGCTTTTTTTTTAATTAATAGATTCATAAAAAAAAAGAAAAATATGAACCTGTTATACAACTTTCATCAACTTTAAGATCAGTTCCTTCAACAACTAAACCATCAGTTGGTAAATAATCACATAAAGACAAATATTTCAAAGAATAATATTAATTATTTATTTATCATTCTTACCAGATTTTATAACACACAGATCACCAACAACAAGTTCTTTAGCAGAAATTCCTTGAATACGATTATCACGTACAACAGATACTCGTTGATTATCAAATTCATCCTGTACACGACGAAATTCACGTTTTAATCTTGATTCACTAAATGTAGTTTCAAATACGGCAACGAGAATAGCTACATCTTCCATTCATTCAAGATTTAATAAAATAAAATTATTTGCTTAAATTTTATAAGATTTTTCACAAGATAATTGGTCTTCTCATGGAAGAAGATTAGAAAGTTTCTTTTCTTTATATAAAACTTAGCTTATATCAAAAACATGATTGTACTATAACCTTTGATATAAATAATAAAGGGAGATTCAGAAGTTCCAATCCCTTTCGGTAAATTGACGTTATCTATATGAATAGATGTATAGATAGTTGATTAAAATATCACTTTTGTAGAGAATGAGAAGAATCATGACTTGAAAAATAAGGTTCAAATTGTGCCGTAGTTATGATCATTTTACTGATGATGAGTAAGCATTTAATACGTTACTTTTTTTAAAAAATAAAAAAAATCGTGTAATGTTTGAGTTATTAAAGTCGAGTGAAACATTGTCTTCTATATGTTTTTACTAGATATTTTTATATGGCTCGATAGAGTTCGACAAGCTCTACAAGAATTTCAATATCAAAAATTTTCTGATCCTCTTTCCAACAGAAAACTTGGAAGAAACCAAGAGAGACTAATAAAAATCTGACATATGCTATATTAGAAAGTATGTTTGACTTCCTAGAACTCCAGTTGATCGACTGTTGATTTACGTTTCAGGATACAATGTCATATACTGAAGCTAAAAACAATCTTCACGAGCTTCATAAACCGATAGAACAGTAGACCAGCTAAAGTTATTGAAAATTTAGCATACTCTTTATAATGTAGCATATATGAAATTTTTATTAACGTTTCTAATTTCCTTCAAATTTTGCATTCAAAACAGCATCGAAGCTTTTTAATTTCATATTTTTGCAGAGCTCGTCGTACTCTATCGAACTATATAACACTTACGAGGAAACATTCCCAAGTGATCCGCTCCGTTTGCCTTCATATTTTGTCCATATGTAGGATCTATTGTAGTAAGAAAAAGCCTAAAAAGAGAATTTGTGCCCTTGTTGCTTCTTTCGAAAGTTATGACCGTTTTACTGATTTTCGAGTCATTCGTAGGTGTTTACCAAAATACGCAAATTTCGGATTTTCTACCTGAGATTTTGTCCATAGATAGATCTAATGGCCCTTAGAATATCCTGAAAGTTTCAACAAAAAAGAATGTTCCTTTCTCAAGATTTTGATATTTCAAAAAATAGTTGCTTGCCACAGATAAGTCACAAAACTGAGTTCACTTGAAAAATCAATATCTCGAGAAAGAAACATTTTTTTTGGCTGAAACTTTCAGGATATTCAAAGAATCATTAGATCTATGTATGGACAAAATTTCAGGTAGAAAATCCGAAATTTGATTATTTCGGTAAACACCTACGAATGGCTCGAAAAGGGTGTGGGTGTGGGTGTGGGTTCGGGTGCGAGTATGGATGTCACTGTTCACTTTTACTTAATTAGCACCCACACCCGCACACCCACACCGACAATCACACTCATACTCACCCTCCGCACCCACACCCACTCAGTTATTCATGACTTGCCAAAAGTATTTATCTTCAACATATCTTTTACATCAACCTTTTTCTATATTTATTAGATCTCTGAAGTATGCTCTTTTCATTATATGAGAACAATATCGCTCTATTTGTCCTTTACAACGATAATCTTGCGTCATCTTTGATAACGGTGTCTTAATTGATGGAGCAAACAGTCCAATATTTTTTTTCCTCTCCTTTCATTCTCTATATAGATAAACAATTGATGTGCGTATATGGTGTAGAAGTACCATAGGTCGTATGCGTGTAAAAAGATAACTGCCGACAATT